ATTTATAATGATAACAGAGATAACTAGTATAAATGATTCTTATTAGTTTAATGGTAGAACAAGATACTTCTAATATCTGAATCTAAGTTCAAATCTTAGATAAGAATAGACAGACAGTCCCCCAAGGGGGACTTTCCTTTAGGTAGGGCCCCTCAAGGGTAAAAAAAAAGAAATATGGAATATTTCTTTTTTTTTTTTTAACCCCCAAAGGATAGAAAGATATCGCTGTTGATACTTTTTTATTTGAGTTTGATGATGGCTCTGAGTGAACGCTATGCAAATGCTTGACACATGCTAATCGAACGTCAATATTTCATTTTTTTTTTTTAAATTAGCTATATTGAAGTGGTGTACAGGTGAGTAATTGGTATTATGGCTACCTAGAAGTAAGGCAAAATAAATCCCTTATAAGAACAATTTGTTATTCTTTATTTATAATAATGATAATTTTTACCCCAGTTAGATTTTTTTATAAATAGAGTTAGGTTAATTATAGCAATAATAAGTGGTTTAAAAGAAAGAGTATTTCGCTTCTAGTTGATTATTAATAACCAGCGGATAAGTAGTAAGTATGGTAATGGCATACTTAGCTTGTGTCCGTAGTCAGGACTGAGAGGTCTATTGACCACACTGGGTCTGAAAAAACCCCAGTGCGTGTAGTACAGCAGTGAGGAATTTTGGTCAATGGCCTAACGGCTGAACCAGCAACTTGCAGGAATGAGAGTTAATATAATAAGTTTATTAACTTGCTTGACTAGGTCTTATAAAATTCTGGATAAAGCTTATTATGAAAACTTTATATCCATAGGTCTCGACCAAATCTTGTGCCAGCAGTCGCGGTAAGACAAGGGAGACGAGTGTTATTCATCTTTAACAGGTATATAGGGTACCTAGACGGTGTACAAAGGCTTAGATAAGTACCTGTTACACTTGAGTTTGATATGTGAGAGGAATATGTCAGAATTATTGGTGGAAAGATGAAATTTGCTAATACTAATAGGACTGATAACGGCGAAGGCAAACCTCTATGTACATGTATTTTGCTTTGTCGGCGTAAAGACAAAAACATTAATACTATAACTGACGTTGAGGGACGAAGGCTCAGAGAGTGAAGAGGATTAGATACCCCCGTAGCCTGGGCAGACAATGATGAGTGCCATAGGTTGGCTTTAGGCCGAACTATAAATGAAAGTGCAAGCACTCCACCTCAAGAGTAATGTGGCAACGCAGGAACTGAAATCATTAGACCGTTTCTGAAACCAGTAGTGAAGTATGTTATTTAATTCGATGATCCTCGAATAACCTTACCACAATTTGAATGATCTACAAGATAATACACAAATTTGGAAATTAGTCCAAAGAAAGGAAATGTTTGTAGACCACATGCGTTGCATGGCTGTCTTCAGTTAATGTCGTGAGATTTGGTTAGGTCCATTAAATTAACGTAAACCCTTGCTTTATTTAATAATATAAAGCTGCTCTCCGCTGATAATTGGATGTGATAATAGGGACTAAGACAAGTCATCATGGCCTTAATATTGTGGGCTATAGACGTGCCACATGTGCCTTTACAAAGGGATGCAATAATGCGAATTGGAGCTAATCCCCTAAAAGAGGATAAAGTATGGATTGTAGTCTGAAATTCGACTGCATGAAAAAGGAATTACTAGTAATCGTGAGTAATCACATCACGGTGAATTTTATCTCAGATAGGTACTAACCACTCGTCAGGCGCTGAAAGGAGTATGTGCAATAAGTTTGGTGGCTGCCAATTGATAGTCTAAATAGAAAGGTTTAGATCTTTTGGCTGATACATCTTCGTATGCGTGACTCTAATTGGTGTTAAGTCGAAATACGGTTCGGGTTGGGGAACTAGCCCGGGAATAATTAATATTAACAATACACCCAAAAAAAAGTCTGTGCAAGGAGCATAAAGTTTATCTAGTTCTATGGTTCGAATCCATAGACAGGCTCATAACAAAACGAGAGGGCTGTTTACTATTATTTTTTTTTGTTATTTGCAAATAACAAAAAAAAAAGAACCCGAGGGGGACTTACCTTTAGGTATGGCCCCTCAAGGGTAAAAAAAAAGAAATATTCCATATTTCTTTTTTTTTTTTAATCTCCAAAGGATAGTAATTTATTGCTATATATTACGCCGAAAAAAAAAAATAACAGCTTAACCCTTTTATTTTTTTTAGAGATAAGGTTGCTTCAATAAAAAGATCTTTTATTGATAGTAAATTTATTTAACAAGAAAAAAAAAAAATCCGAGTGCTGGAATTGGTAGACAGGACAAATTTAAGCTTTGTTGACGTTATGTCGTGAACGTTCAAGTCGTTCTTCGGATACAAGGAAAAACACTATACTTGAAAGGATTAAATGTACTTTAAGAAAGGATTAAATAAACCCATAATAATAAATATAGTGATAATGAGATATATACTTATAATAATCGATATACTGATAATGATAAATATACTGATAATGATAAATATAGCTGTGTTATCTTTAATATTTGCAGTTAGTTAAAAGGAATTTCATAAAAAAAAAAAATAAAAATTTAAAATAAAAAATTAAAAAAAAAAATATGAATAAAAATATAAATAAAAATATAAATAAAAAAGGAGAGTTCCTTTATTGGTAAGAAGGGTTGAGCTGTAAACTCAATAGCAATACGCTTTTAAGAGTTCGAATCTCTTGTCTCCTAATAGTCATTGTCTTTAGTAAACTTATAGCTAATAAATATTTTTAATATTTATGGATTAAAGAGTTAATTATTAGATAATGAATTCTTACAGTTAATTCATATAGAGTTAATTCTTAGATAATGAATTCTTACAGTTAAGTCTTATAGAGTTGCTCTATAACTAGTGGATTATATATTTTTTTACAGAGTTGCTCTATAACTAGTGGATTATAAAGAAAATTTGTAGACTTGCTCTATAACTAGTGGATTATAAAGAAAATTTGTAGAGTTGCTCTATAACTAGTGGATTATAAAGAAAATTTGTAGACTTGCTTTATAACTAGTGGATTATAGAGATAATTGTACAGAAAGAGTTTATACAGAGTTAATCGTTATAAAGCTGCTATAGAGTTGTTATTGTAAGGAATAGCCTTTATAGCTCAATGGTAGAGCGGAATACTGTTAATATTCTGATAAATGTTCGATTCATTTTAAGGGCTTTACAAGGTTATAGAGAAGTTTAAAAGGTATAAAGGGCTTTAAAAGGTTATACAGCACTTTTAAAGGTTATACAGCACTTTTAAAGGTTATAGAGCGCTTTAAAAGGTTATAGAGCGCTTTTATCACAAAGACCTTTACTATTTTTTAGCAGATAGTTAGATCTTTTAAAACGAATACTTATCTCAGTTATTTTTTTTTTTTTTTCGACGTAATTTATAGCAATAAATTACTATCCTTTGGAGATTAAAAAAAAAAGAAATATTTCATATTTCTTTTTTTTTTTTTACCCTTCAGGGGCCATACCTAAAGGTAAGTCCCCTCTGGTTATTTTTTTTTGTTAATTGTAAATAAAAAAAAATTATAGAAAAAAAAAAAAATTAAAGGTCTAACTTTTTTTTTATATATTACAATATATTTAAAAAAAGTAAAAAGGACTGAGTCCAGTCTTCGACTAGTTTATTGTAGAGCTATTGTAGAAAATGAATAGAAAAACTAAGGTTACACCCAGAAATTATTTCAAACATACTATATATAGTTGTAGCACAATGTAACTAAAAATATATAGAGAGCTAACCTATAGCATAGTACTAGTAGATTTTACTAGTAGTAACATGCTAAAAGAATACAGCTTTCCTTTTAAGAGAAAACTATATATAGTTTCTGTAATGAAAAGGGTAATTCACAATTTTATATGTTATATATAGTTAATGAAATGACATTTAATGGTTATAGTGCAGTTAACTTAGATATATTATACATTATTGCTATACTATTAGGTATATTAGTAATTGTAAGTAAAAACCCTATTGTTTCTGTTTTATTTTTAATAGGTTTATTCTTATGTATAGCTGCTTATTTAATCCTAACAGGATTAAACTTTATAGGGCTATCATACTTATTAGTATATATAGGGGCTGTGTCTATATTATTTCTATTTATATTAATGCTAATAAATGTTAGAATATCTGAGCTATTAATAGACAGTATTAATAGTATACCTTTAGCTATATTAATAGGTGGTTTATTTAATTACTTTGTTAATAATGTTCTACCGTATATGGTAATGAGTAATAACTTATTATATCACTTTACTATTAAAAAACAACTAACAAACGTTACATCTGTATCATGAGACGGATACTTAGCAGAAACTTCTCATATAACATCCATAGGTAATGTATTATATGGTAATTACTCTATATGATTAATAATTACATCTATTATATTATTATTAGCGATGGTTGGTGCAATCGTTATTACGTTAAAACCACAAACAGATCAAGAATAATAATAAATAAAAACCAATAAAAACCAATAGACGTCTTTGCCTTTTTTTTTGTAAAAAAAAACTACTTTTTTAACTTGTAATGCAAATTAGCGAATTTGTACAACAAATCCCAACAGATAAAGGATAATTTTCTATTGGAAACTGCCACTTTACATCTTTATGATGTGTGCAACGGGAGAAGCTAGAGCATATAACAATGCAAACATAACCATATTCTAGTAAAGCCTATAAAAAACAAAAGAAAACTAAAAAAAAAAGAAATTAGCTCAATTGGTAGAGCATCCGTTTTACACGCGGCAGGTTAAGTGTTCAAATCACTTATTTCTTACTACTTATCAAAAATAAGTAAATATATTTATAGAGATCTTAGCTTAATGGTAAAGCATATGACTTTTAATCATTCTCATAAGGGTTCAAATCCCTTAGATCTTAGAAAAAAAAAGTATAAACGGCTATAGGATAATGGTTAATCTCCTCGTCTTCCAAACGATTTATACCGATTCGACTTCGGTTGGCCGTATGGGGTTAGTAACTTAATTGGTAAAGAGCTTTCTTGTCACGAAAGCAGATATCGGTTCGAACCCGGTCTAACTCGTACTTTTTAATTTTATAACTATCCTTTGGGGATGGTCCCAAGGGGGACTTACCTAAGGGTCCCCCTCGGGTTATTTTTTTTTTGTTATTTGCAAATAACAAAAAAAAAATTATAGTAGAAGACTGGACTCAGTCCTTTTTACTTTTTTTTAATATATTATAATATATTAAAAAGTTAGACCTTGTCTAGATGTTTAATTCTAGGGTTAGAAGTAATTCTATGAGTAGCCTAAATTGTTACCATTACACCTACCACTAAATTGTTACAGTTTAATTCTATTGTTATGAATAATAGTAACTTCACAGTTAACCTTAATTTTATAGTTAAAAGCAATGCAAAAAAAGCAGAAGTTTAATCATAAAATTAAAAAGGAAAAGTTGCTATAGGTAGGGCGAGATATTTGCTAAATATTGTGTTTAACACGTGGTGGTTCAAATCCACTCTTTTCCGAATAGAATAAAAAAAAAAATAAACTGAACAGAGAAAGAATTACTATAGTAAAAAAAATAGCTAATTACCTATATGGATAAGGGATAGACCTTTATAAAAGAATAAAGAAGTTTATTATTCACATAATGTTTTGTGCATTTAATGTTTATAATAACATTATTACAATACTATTTTTATTAGTCATCACCATATGATTAGTCTTATCAGCATATGATTAGTCTTATCGCCATATGATTATATGGTTATCACCATATAATTAGTCTTATCAGCATATGATTAGTCTTATCAGCATATGATTAGTCTTATCAGCATATGATTAGTCTTATCAGCATATGATTAGTGTAGTTTAATTGTGAACATCCGTTTTGTCTAAGGTATTGTTCAATATTAGATATACTTTTATAAGTAACTACAATTAAAAGAGTAAAATGACTATAGTAAAAAGAGTATAGTTTAATTGGTAAAATAGGAAGCTTCAAACTTCAAATTTCCAGTTCAAGTCTGGATGCTCTTGTTATAACATAATGTCTTATATATTTTATAGCTTTTTTTTTTTCATAGTTTTACTTTCATGTCTTAACCGTTCTAATAGTTAAATAGCATATATTTACTTAAGGTTCCTTAGCTTAATAGGTAAAGCGCATTTTTGATAAGGATGTGATCGACGTTCAATTCGTTGAGGAATCAAAGGTTAATTAGCTACAGCGCATTCTTGGAAAAGATGCATTCAACGTTTAATTACCTTAGTTACGGCTATAAATACTCAAACATGGTATTTAGAAGGAATGCAGCAACTAAAGGGAATAATCTCCATAAAACCTGACTGGTCATTACCAATCTCATCGCCATTTGTCTTGACAAGAAGGATATTGGCTCGAGCCAATAGATACCTCTGATATATGAAGAAAACAATCAGTGAAAATGTAAGAAAGAACCCCGACTATGCTTATAAAGAATCTTAACTATTTAGTCGTAGATAAAAATGCTGGACACTGTTTATACTGAACAAATGCGAACCTAATTATTTTCTCCGTTTGTATAGGAGATTAGGGGTATAATTAGCAAATATCTAAAAAGGATGAGACTTAAATCTTATAGGATGAAAGTTAAACAATTAAAGAGATCCAGAAAGAGGTTAGAAGAAAACACGATTCCACCCCCCCCCACCATATGCCTACTTGAACGAAATCGGGATTTACGCAGGGTGCCTATTGGTTTCCAATCATTTGCCTTTATGGCCTGAAGTTGGCCAAATACCAGTCTATAGAATGCGCTGTAGCTAATTAACCTTACGGTGCGTTAGTTAAATTGGTATAATGACATGCCACGGACATGTTTTTACAAGTTCGAGTCTTGTACGCACTTTTCTATAATTTTTTTTTGTTGTTTACAATTAACAAAAAAAAATAACCAGAGGGGGACTTACCTTTAGGTATGGCCCCTGAAGGGTAAAAAAAAAAGAAATATGGAATATTTCTTTTTTTTTTTAATCCTCCCAAGGATAGTTAAAAAAATAAAAAATAAAAAAAAAAAAGAGAATTGACTGAGTGGTTTAAAGTGATAAGCTTGAAACTTATTTGGTTGAAAGACCACATCCGTTCGAATCGGATATTCTCTGCTATGTGTAAAGATAAAGATTCTCTTTATAGATTCTTTTTCCCTCCCCTGATTTTTTTTTTCTTTTGCCTGGTTTTTTGGTTATTTATCTTAATTTTTTGGGGTTATTTGTCTTAAAAAAAAAAAGAAAAGCAAAATAACAAAAAAAAAAAAATAACCCGAGGGGGGACTTTCCTTTAGGTAGGGCCCCTCAAGGGTAAAAAAAAAAGAAATATGGAATATTTCTTTTTTTTTTTTAAATCCCCAAAGGATGGGATAAATAACCAAAAACCCGATTAACGAGTAAACACTGCAAAAGAAAAAAAAAATAAAGCTTGCGTTTTATTTTTTTTTATTATTTATCAATGATAAATAATAAAAAAAATAATATAGGGTATAAATACAAAAAATATAGGGTATAAACAAAAAATATAGGGTATAAACAAAAAATATAGGGTATAAATACAAAAAAAATATAGGGTATAAATAAACCATATTATAGCTAATATATCTATACAAAATACATAACTTTATATTATTGTACAAATTTTATAATGATATGGTATAATAAAAAACACATTAAAAGGTATAGTGTAATAAAAAACATATCCTAGCATGGTATATAGCGTACTATAGTACATAACGTAATAGACTAGATAAACGGGATACACTAGATAAACGTGATACACTAGATAAACGTGATACACTAGATAAGCGTGATACACTAAGCGTGATATAGTACATAGCATACTAAAAAACATAGCGTACTGTACTACACAGAACACTATAAACAGGTTAGGGCCGGGTTGGTTAGGCGCCTCATTTGGGTTGAGGAATAGTTATGTTCGAATCATAATAACCTGAAATAGGATTAGAAATCCTTGTATATAAAAATAAATAGTAATGTATTTGATATGTAATGTATTATTTCATAATCTTACTAGCTTTGTATTATTTATTTTATAGTACAAAAAGTAACTTTATGGCAAGTATATAAAGAGACTATTACGGAAAAAAAACTGTATATTAGACCATTAGTACCGTAAAAAGGAGAGATGACGATTTACTAGTCCCCCGAGAATAGGAAAGTGGTAGAAAAATTTCTATAAAAAGAAACGAAGTGAATTGAAGTATCTTAGTAGCTTCAGGAAAATAAATCAAACGAGATTCTATTAGTAGTGTGAATGAAAATAGATAAAGGCTTAAAGTAAAATGGATACATCTGTTTGAATATAGGGGAACCTTCCTCTAAGCCTTAATATAATATACAAGTAATAGAGAAAAGTACTGTGAAGGAAATTTTTGAATTAGTAGTCTTATAAGCAGCTCGAGATAAGTTTAATAAACGTATAAGAGCGTACCTTTTGTATAATGGGTCAGCAAGTTCTAGTTAGATGCAAGCAAATACTCAGTGTATAAAAAAAAAAGGGATTTGCCTAGATAATCCAATTATTAAGTAATGAATAAGTATCTAATTAGAGACCCGAAGAGTAGTGATCTTACCATGGTCAGGCTTATAAAAGGCCGAATGGGTTATCGTTGTAAAGATATCCAAAGAACTGTGGTAAGTTAGTGAAAGACAATCCTGACTACTATAGCTGGTTTTCCGCGAAACATATGTAAGTATGTAGTTTAAATTACATCATAGCAGGTACAGAACTGTAATCTCGGACAATTTGTGCATTTTCATTACTAGGGGGAAACCTCTAGAGAATGTAATGCCTTGTGCATATGGGGGGGTCGTGAAGACTCTATTCGCGAGTATTTGCTCTCGGAAGGGCAATGATGAATGTTGAACTATCAGACATTTAACGATAAGGTTGTGTGTCAAAAGGGAAACAGCCCAGAACAAGTGTTTAAGGTTCCAAAGTTTTTGTTAAGTGAAAGTAAGGAAGTATTTAAACGATACAACCAGGAAATAGGCTTAGAAGCGGCCATTTTTTAAAGACCTCGTAACAGAGCACTGGTTCAAAAGGTTAGTAAAATAACCTATTCAGTTAAAAGCGCCGAAGATATAACGGATCTAAACAAAACACCGACACCTTGTCCATAAAAAGACTAGGTTACCTTTGCTGTAGGAAGTTTCGCTGTATTTACAAAACCCGCAAGTGAGTGGTATGGGTAATGATTATAAGCAAAAGGTAATTCTATGTACTATACGTAAACACTAGTTACGTATTATTTATGGGGTAGCGGAACATTGGGTAAATAGGACTAGAAACAAAGGATATATAAAAGTATTGTACGAATGAAAAAAAAAAAGCACTACTATTAGTAAATAATAACTAGTCGACGTACATAAGTTTAAAGATAACTACAACGTAGTTTGAGCGCTAAATAGCGCTAGTCCAGTATATCCCAAGCGAGAATGCTGACACGAGTAACGAAAAAGAGGATGCCTATGGGACCTCTCGCCTTAAGCTTATGGTAAAGTGATTCGGTCTCTAAATTTAACCTAAAGGATAAAATGATGAGAAGATTAGATGTGACAACATAAATAAATAGAGTAAAATGTTCTGGAAAAGCATAAAATCTAAATAAGGGAAAAACCACACATGAAAAATGTGAAGAGAAAAATTTTAGCTAATTAGACTAAAATAGAATTACTATAGTAACAACAAATAGATAATAAAAAGGAATTTTCCTTAATAATTAAAAAACCGTACCTAAAAACTACCACAAGTAAGCTAGTAGAGAATACGAAGGCGTTTGAGCTAACAATCATTAAGGAACTCGGCAAAATGACACCGTAACTGAGGGAAAAGGTGTGCCATTCCTGCTGATTAATATCAGTTTAGGAAGAGGAGACATAAAATGGTGTTGCACGACTGTTTAATTAAAACACAGCACTTTGCGTAAGATGTAAATCAATGTATAGAGTGCGCTATCTGCCCAATGATGGCTGGTTAACGGATTTACTTAGATGACTAATATAGTTTAGGTTTTGAAGGAAC